CCAAGACTGGATCTCCCTTCCCCACGATCGGATCTAGCATTTCTAAGCTTCAGCTGCCGCAAAAACCGCCAGAATCCACCAAATCGCTGTCGCGCCTCTTCATCTTCCAACCCATATCCTGCTCATTTCTGACAACTTCTCACCTCCCCAGGACCTGATCTGAACTCCCCATCACCAGAGCTTTCCATCGGTAACTTCGGATCCCATTTTCGCCACCGTTTTTTGGAAGACCCGCCAGAAAATTAATGTTTTCTGGTGAGTGCAGCTGTTCGTATTCCGGGCTATCTGTGGGTCATTTTCTCCCCTTCTTCGCATCATATCACTATCGGTTACCTCCTCTCCGCCATGATCAGCTCTGTTTCCACTGTTTCAATCTTTGTCATCACCACCATGAGCGGCTGAGTTTTCGGTTGTCTGTTACGGTGTAGGCGAGATCGAGATTGACTCCATTGATCTCCTTATCAGCTCTGGACTAGCTGGATGAGCGCGAATGTTGGATATTTGGTTAAGTTTCTTGTATTCAGATTATATTTGTTTTCATTTCAGTTTGTTTGCGATGCTTTAATATTATTCTGATGCTCGACGTGTTGAATTGATAATGTCCATTGAGAACGTTTATTGATATATAACTTTTTGCATAATTAAATGTCGGTTTGAGATTATTGAATGTTGATTATGAGTTTAAATTGCTTCGGTATTGATTGCAATCAAGTTGTAGTAGCATTTGATATCATTTCTACTAGTAATGCATTTATTGTGTAATTAGTTGATTGGATGATACAGGTTGATAGGTTGTACTTGTTAACGTTATACCAACTAGTGGTGTTTAAGGGTTTAGCATTTTTCGGTTAGTCAATGATAGTCTTTAACCAATCAATCTGTAACTAAGATGACAGGGAGACAGGATAGATTATGCCTAGATTGCCGGGAGATATTTCTATTGATTTACCTAACCTTGTAGGATTAGGAAATTGAAGAGCGAGGAGAGGAATTATGAGAGTTGGTCTTGAGTCAAACCGAACCCGTAGCGACAACGCTTTTAATATTGTGTTTTAGTTAGCAATTTATTTGATGCTTTTTATTTTCCTGCAATTAATTAGTTTCCTTTGTTTTAATCAATCATTCTGCCAATTTCTCTTTCGTTAACTCAAATATACATTAGGTCATTAGTCTTGCTCTCTGTGGATTCGACCTTCCTTACCGCTAACTATGGTATTTAGGTTTAATTTTGTAACCGTGACGATCGGTTCAACAGTTCTTTAGTTCTTGATTGATTTTTCTGCACTTTTTAGAATCTTTGTAACTAGGTAGATTGATTAGCTATTGTTAGTTAATCTAAGGGTAGTTTTACTCTTGTGGCTTGAGGATTCCAGGTAAGAGTCCTTGGGTGAGTTACGGGTTGATTCTTGGGTAGAAATGGATATGATTTGATCTAGTTGTGTTGGATCTTGTACTGTATTGATATTATTCAGATTAGTAGTGCTGTGAGCTCTCCATTTCTGGAGCTCAACGTGGACATAGATTATCCAAATAGGATAATCGAACCACAGTAAAAATCTTGCATTTCTTGTGTGGATGTTTTGTGTAATCTGTGTGGAGTTGAAAAAATTTGGTTTATGTTTGTGTTTGTTGGCTCAGTATAACAATATATATATTGTAGTCTCAAGCATTGACATGAAGGATTCTGAAACTATAGATACGGATATGGTTAACGTGAGAGCAAATGACGATGCTTCTAGGGTAATGTCACCTCCTTCTAATTCTAGTATTCATGCAACTAGTTCTAGAAATAAATGTAAAACATCATAAGTTTGGAATTACTTTGAGACATATGTTGATGAGAATAAGAATGAGAGGGCTAGGTGTAAGGCATGCAATAAAACTTATGCATATGGTAGTGTCACACATGGGACTAAAAATTTGAAGCATCATATGGGAGATTATCCAAAACGTGGCAACCATGATGTAGGGCAATTGTTGATTGATCATGATCATAGATTGCAAAGTAGAAAGATTAGTCAAGAGACTTATCGTGAATATATGGCCTTATCAATTATTCAACATAATTATCCATATTCATATGTGGAGAATCAAGGAACTATAAGAGTCTTTTCGTATGTGTGTAAGGAGCTTAAGCATTATTCTAGGAACACTACTAAGGCGGATTGCTTAAAAATATATGAAAGGGTGAAGCAAAAAACTAAGCTTGAATTAGGGAGGCTTACTAGTAGAATATGCTTAACTTCTGATGTTTGGACTTCTGGTACAACTGAGGGATATATTTCTTTGACAGCTCATTATATGGACGAGGATTGGGAGTTACAAAGTAAAATACTAAACTTTTGCCATATTCCTCCTCCACACTCAAGGGTTGTTTTGGCAGATAATATTATGAATTTCTTCCAAGAGTGGGGAATTGAAAAGAAAGTTTTCTCAATTACTTTGGATAATGCAAGTAGTAATGATAGGATGGAGGATATCTTGAGGAACCATCTTTGTGTGTAGAATGCTTTGTTATGTAGGGGTGAATTTTTTCATGTGCGATGTTCTGCATATATCTTGAATCTTATTGTTCAATAAGGGTTAAAAGCTACTAGTGTCACTTTAAATAAGATTCGAGATAGTGTGAAATATATTAAAGCAACTGAGGCTAGAAGAATCAAGTTTGGAGAACTTGTTGTACAAATGGGAGTGAAAAGCTCAATGGGGTTGAGATTTGATGTTTCCACTAGATGTAACTCGACATTTTTAATGCTTGAAAAGGCATTAATATATCATCCTATGTTTGTGGGTTTATCAACAATAGATCTCAATTATAAACTTTTGTCTATTAGATGACGAATGGGATAGGGGGCGAGGATATGCAAGTTTTTGGAACCATTTTATGATATTACGACTTTATTCTCGGGTTCCAAATATCCTACAACAAACTTGTACCTGAAATGTGTGTGGGATATTCAATTGCGTTTAATTAAAGAGAAGATGATTGAGGATGAATTTGTTAGGAGCATGGCGGAACAAATGATGCCAAAATTTGCAAAATATTGGGATTCTTATAGTTTTGTGTTGACGATTGCAACTATTCTTGACACACGTCTCAAGTTTCAGTTTGTAGAGTATGCTTTTAAGAAAGTTTATGATTTAACTATTGTCATACGAAAGTTGGAGGTTGTTAAGAATAACCTGCAAAAGCTTTTTCAAGCTTACGAGGCTCAATGTTCCAAATAAGTTTCTGTCTTACCTTCAGTTGTTTTTCCTGCGAGTGGTCCTACTCTTGGTAGGCGTATAGATAATTCTTCTGTAAGTCACTATACTTTTTAGTTTTTATATTCTTATGATAAATAAAGTATTGTTTATTGTTTAATTTTAACTTTTGACACTTAACTATTTAAATGGTGCAGGATTTTGACAACTACAAAAGTGATTTTATTTCCACTAAGAAATCCGAATTAGATCTTTATTCGAAAGAGATGAGGTTTGATCGCGTCAAATATTAGAATTTGGATATCCTCGATCATTGGAAGAACAATTGTGATCGTCATCTGGTACTTGCCATGATGGCTCGTGATATCCTGGCAATACCAATAACATATGTTGCTTCAGAGTCCGCTTTTAGTATTGACAGTAACGTGTTCAACAAATATCAAAGCTCACTTGGACCTAAAAATGCAGAATCTTTTATATGCACTTGGACTTGGCTATATGGATATGAGTTTTAAGGTAACATGTTAACATAATATTTCATATATTTTATTATTTACATTTATTAATATTTGTAGTTGATCATTGTTTTGTAGATGATAATGTGAATGATGATTCGGATGATGATCTTGATGTGCCATAAACTAATCCCGAGACTATGGAATCAAGAGACTTTATCACCCCCATTGTGGGATGAATATTTGCTACCCAAGAATGTTTTTTGTTGAACATTTGATTATGTATTTATTTATTTTAATTGTTATTTGTAGTTTTGTATTTTACGTTATTGATTTATTGTGTTTGTTTATGTGTATTAGTGATTATGTATTTGTTTATTTTGGTTAGTATTTGTAGTTTTGTATTATATGTTATTGACTTGATTGTTGTGTTTGTTTATTTGTATTACTATTAATGATTATGTATTTGTTTATTTTGGTTGATATTTATAGTTTTGTACTATATGTTATTGACTTATTGTGTTTGTTTATATGTTATTTTTTTATTTTGGTTCCTATTTGTTTATATTCTAAATTGAATTGAATTTAGAGTAGTTGATTTTGGGGGTGTAAATGTAAAAAATCAAAACTGTAGGAATTTTAGGGGTGTAACTGTCATAATTAAAAACTATTGGTGGTGAAATGTAAAATTTAAAACCTGGAGAGAGAAAAAAAGGGCACCCACGGTCCACCCATACTCGCATAGGATAGGGTACGGGTCTAATATTTTGGGTCAAGATGACCCGCACCAGTGACGACCCAACCCATCCGCTCGTTTTGCCAGGTCTATTAAATGGTACTTAAAATTTAATTTAATTTTTAAATTTTTTTCAAATTCTTTAATCAGGGGCAGTTTAGACTTTACATAAAAGATTCAGTATGAGGTAAGAAAATATATAAACGTCAGCTAGTGTGAGTGATTATTTTGGTAGTGAAAAATTAAAATGTTTTGAATTGTGATTAAAAGTATATAACTCAGTATTTACCTCAAGCTTTAGTGGACACTGTTCTCAATACTTCTCATCTTAAGTTTGATAGTTTCTGAAATTAGGGGTGGAAAAATCGTTTTCGTTAAAATATGATGGGAAAATTATTTCGGCCCTTCATAAATTTCATCCAACGGGAACACATGGTGGGAAGCCGTTAATTTATAATAGTAATGGCGTTGGTCAAGGGTCAATCGGTCAATTAAATACGGTGATACGGGCGGCTGGTTCCATCGAAAACTTGCAAGTGACCATGTGGGCATGTGGCTGTGACTTTTACTCCTCCAACAACCCACTTGAAGCTTTTTAATTTCTCTATAAATAGCAATAAAAGAGAGAGAGAGAGATACAAAAGAAGCTTACACAATAACAATGAAGAAGATAATAGTTGTAGTGATGATTATTGTTTTCATCTTTTCCCATTTTGAGACTGTCCAACCCTCCGCTGCCGACTGCAACGACGCTTGTTCCACTGCCTGTGTTCAAGAAGACTGTAAGTTTTATTATCTATTTTTTTTGTAAAATTAAGATCTGAACTTAAACCTTTTCCCTTGTTGTTTGCAGCAAGGCTTATGCAGCGTTGTGACCGCAAGTGCCAGATTAAGTGCGATCCAGACTCATCCACGTAAGCTTTTATGTAATTTTAAATCAGTTGATGAAGTCCAATTTTGAGGGTTGAGGTGAGTTAAAGAATCTTATTGTGTTGTGCAGTGTCAAAACTGGAAGGCCATAAACTGTAGCTTGAGACTGAAATTCTTCAACTATGGAATTGGAAGATGACAAGTGAAGAAGACATCATGCTGTATAATATTTGTGCTCTGTGGAATATGTAATAAGTAATTTCTTAATTATGAGAAATTGTATTTAGCAATATTCTTGCTCAATATAATTCCAAATCTTAATCTCATTATGTCAGGATATTGATTTCTTTTTGTTAAGGGAATAATAATTTCCTCTCTTCTAATGTGTTTTTTTGTCATTCTAAAAATAAAGAGATAAAATAGAAAAAGAAAAATGTCAAATAACGCCAAACTAAACACTGGAATTTGACTTCGAGCCTTAATCATGTTAAATAATCTCATGTGTTGTTATTCTTTGTTATCACATCATCAACCAAGAAAACAATTGAAGACAAGATTTCATTAATACTTCTCTTCCTACTCTTACTCCTCGTCGACAATAACACAAAACTCCTGCAAATGAGTTTACTCGTTTCTAATTTGGGTATCTCTACAATCACTATCGGAACAGTAGCTGATGCATGATATACAGTAAAATCTTGACTAAAAGATATCCCTCATTCAAATATGGGGAAATCCCCAAATTCCATCAATAAACTTACCCCTACAATGAATTAAGCAACCACTAAACTGTTGAGATCTTGGGACAATATGTGTACTTCACCTATATAAAGACCAGAAGAGGATTTTTGACAGCTAACATTACCAAAATCCCATGTCACTTTCTATTGCAAATACTTGACTTCCCAAGCGATGCAAGAAGCTTTTCCACTCCCCAACCTTCACTAAAAGCGACAGCCATTTCTCTTTTTTCCAAGCTTCCTATGCGGACTTTACTCTTCAAACAATTAAGCCCTAATTTTAAAACCAGCACAGTCAACTATAACAATGCTATGTTACAGAACATTTCTAATTCATTTGCAACATTCTAGATGAGAAACCTGAGCATTCTGAAGTGCAGGTATAGAGATATTCTCACATGTATTCAACATGAAGTTTATATAGATTGAAAGTATGCATAAACATCCTAAAAAGACATCTAAATTACGAAATGTTATGAATAATGAGGGTAAACCACCTCCTGAAAATCTTAGAAGCTAAGAAATACAACAATTATGACAGTATACAATACGAATTAAAGGAAGCTAAACAGTGTAAAACACCATGGATGAGCATTTTCATTGTCTTCCTATACAATAAATACCCCATCTAGAAAAATGATGTACCGTTTCTATATTGCAATCAGAACAGTATAATGTACATATCTAACTAATAAATAACAATTGATATTAAAAAAAAAAAAAAGCAATGCAGAATTGAATATATACAGTAAGAGTTTTCTCACTTTGATCAACTAATTTTGATGTACAACCATTGTATTTCTTTGCCAACTACACATCAAGAACCAGCAACAGTTTCTGTAAAATTTCTCCGCATAGGGCGAGACAACTTCTTTGCATATGAGGAATTCCACTCCCCACCATCCTGTGCATAATAATCCATGGGATAATCTCCGCCAAGAACTTCCTTTTTACAACATTTTTCATCCCCATTTGCACTCCCACAACACGAATCATCTTTACCACAACCTGAATTCACTAACAAGCTTCTTTCCCACCATCCGGGGATAACCCCGAGTGCAATCTCAGCTTCAAAGACAGTTAAAAGCGGCTTTCCAAAGGCATCACCCCAATCAATAGACAATCTAGGACAAGCTATTTGAATCCAAGCATCCACAGAGTCTTCTAACAAGGCAACCTTCCCTGGACTAATCTCCGACATCAAAACTACAACGTAATCAAACCCTTTCTCACCAATCCTCTTCTGCAACTTCTCCAAAATCCTTGGATTCCCTTGCCTCCCCAATGTCCCCAAAACAATGCCCCAACTTTTCACCTCCTTCGCCTTTTCAATTGCCCGTTTTCTCGTCTCTCTCATACCCTTGTGATCATACTCCTCCAGAAACAACTTCCCCATATAGGGATCATATCTAAATGCTTTAATCCTTGGATTCGCTATCATAAACGCCTCCAGATGGAAGCGACCGTCTGAGATAAACACCACAATGCATTCCAAATCCAATTCCGATTCAGGAACTGAAACTTTAGGGGCATTACAACCTAGAACTTCACCAGCCGATAACGGTTTCGATTGCGGAATCATAACTGTAAATCCGTGTCTTTCTAGTTCTGATTTAGCAACCCTAATTGCCGACGCGAATTGTATTGTGCCTGCCAATATAATTTTAACGCCTTTAGGGTTATGGATGTTGAGTCTAACTGTGTCAATCAGATGGTTGACTTCGATTTTGATCTCGACGAACACGTAGAGGCAGGGTATTTTGGTATAATCAACGGGGACGAGGCAGCTGTGGCCGTAGTGGATTAGAAGATCCGCGTTTAACGCGGCAGCGGAGAGGTCATCAACGCAACACGCGCCGTAGGTGACGTCACCGAGAATGAAGCAGTGGGTGACGTCAGCAAAGGAAGTGAAGATGTCGGAGAGAATAAGAGAGTACATTAGTAAACCTTCTGGAAGCTGAAGAGCCACGCGCTTCGCTGCCGTGGAACGGACACGCCACACGCACTTGTGAATTTCGAAATTGTAGTTGTGAGGGAGGAGTGCGATGGCGGCATTTAGGGATTGATCGTTGAGGATGGAGTCTGGGATTTGGTTCTTCACGAAACGCTTCGGGATTGATTTGGGTTTCGAAACGAGTTCAACAGATTGGGATCGTTGTCGATTGGTGCTGTTGTCAGAGGAATCCATTGAGCAATGATGAGAAATTCGAATCAAATTATTGATGATTGTCGGCAAAGACAAGTTCTGTGTTATTCAAATAAAATTTTAGGGTTTTGCATTGAAGAGGAAGGGCTGTGAAGGGTTTTCAGGATGGTTAATTACATTATAGTCTACTCCAAGATACCATTACAAAGGACAATTAACATTTTTACCCCTGAAACACACCTACAAACTTACAGGAAAGTGATGTCTTGGGTAAGGTGAGAATCAGATGGGAAATTCTCAAATCTACCCCTGAAGATTTGTTTACACTGAGTTTTAATGGAAAAAGTTTTTAACTTTTTAGAATAGTATTCTATACTGAATCAGATTTAATCAAATATGATAAGATTATGAGGAGGTGTTTAATACATTTTTTAAACATGTTTTCTGAAAATATTTAAATTATTTTTAACCTCCTATATTTATTAATTTAGCTAACACCCCCCCTCTCAACAATAAAAGTTTATAAATTAATAAAAACATCTATACCCATCCAACTAATTGTCAACAACCAACCACCACTGCTAGACAATGGCTGAAAGTCGTCGAAATTGTGCACGATCGACTAGATCTTGCCAGTCGTACGCTAATCTGATTGGAAACAACCAAATCTATAGCAAAAAATCTGGCCAAACTTGGCTTGACAACCAGATCGACGCACGACCGACCAGATCCAATTACTCGTTCGCCAATTCGATGATTTTCCGCCACCGTCCAACAGTGGTAACCGGCTGCCAACAATTAGTTGGGTGGGTGGGGGTGTTTTTGTTTATTTATAAACTTTTATTGAGAAAAGTAATAGTTAAATGTTTTGAGTTGAATAGAATATGATTGGATTTTGAATTGAATAGTCAATATTAAAATAAATATGTATTTCATTGGATTGAATAGGATAGGATAGAGTTTGAAAAGTGTACAAAACAGGGGGTTATTCATTAATATGATTATTTAACATTTCTTTATTATAACTTAAATTGATTTACTTCATTGCAGTCACAATGCTAATTCAACAAATCAGCTAGTTGAATGGCACGTGAGTTGCGTAGGTAGCTTGTAAAATTGGTTTTGACACGATGTTTGTTTAAATAATTAGATGTTTCAATTGGTTAATATCTACTATAGTGGTATATATATTGTATAGGTAGGAAATGGTCTATTGAATCTCCTAATTATGTTAGTTACAAATTATAGAATATACTAACATAATTTAGATATTACACAATATAATTAGTATCCTAAGATTGGCTAAAATAATAGATTAGAAAATATTTGTCATAGTATTTAATTTAATGTTCATTTAATAATTAAAGTAATAAATAATAAGAAATTAAGAATAGTAATTTCATATAAATATTACATGTCAATGTATACCCATTTAATCCAAATAAGTAATATTAAATTGAAATGTTATGTGAACCAGATAATTAATGTAGAACCAACAATCCCATTCTATTGATATCTACTATAGGTTGAAATTGATCAATTGAATCTCCTGATTATGTTAATTACAAATTACAAAATATACTAACATAATCTGTATATTATACAATATAAATAGTATTCTAAGATTGACTAAAAATATATTAGAAAATATTTTTCATATATTTAATTTAATATTCAATTAATAATTAAAGTAATAAATAATAAAGAAATTAAGAATAATAATTTCATGTAAATATTATATGTCAATGTAAACCCAATTAATCCAAATAAGTAATATTAGATTGAAATGTTTTGTGAACCGGACAATTAATGTTAAACCAACGCCTTTGGAAGTTTTTGCTTTTAAATTGGGTTGTTATACATTTAAGGTTAATATTAAATTATAATTTTTCGTGAACCGGACCATTAATTTTGAACCAATCATCCGACCGTTTTGATTGAAAATTGGGTTACTATTTAGTTAGGTTTTTTTTTTTTTCATTTTCCTTTCATCATTTTCATCTCCTCGTTTGCTTTGTTTTTTGGTATTGCCACCGTTTTGTTCGACTACGATTGCAGTGTTTGTTCGGAGGCTTCTTTCACTGCAAAAACAAAATCTCTATAAATAATCTTTCTCCGAATACTTTCTTTCGTTTTTTTATCAGTTTCAATTCTTAAATGTGGTTTATGTGATATTGTAAGTTTTGTTTGATCGACATTGCATTTTGAGAGTGGGCTTTTATAGTTTTGGAAGATTGATTGTAGTTTTTTTATATTTAGTAGCTGATAAAAATTATGTTTTTCCTATGGACTGAATATTTAACCCCTTAATGTGTTTTCGTATTTTATATTTTTTGAAGAATGCTTGAATGTGAAATTTTTGTTTTGTTTGCAAGTGTTTGTTTTGTTGAAATTTGTTGCTAATATATTTCCGTTGTATTCTTGTTTTTGTTAATGTTGA